GCGAATCTCAACATTCGAGTTAGCGCTGATGATCGAATGTCCTTTGGTGCCACACAATCGAGTTGTGTCCTCGAAACCGCTGGTGAGGGTGCGACCAAGGTAAGTCTTGAGAATCTTGCCATTGGCAAATTCCACCAGGCCCCATGCGTTGTCGGCGTCGCCATACTTAGCTAAGTCACTGTAGACAGCCACCTGGCCGAAGGCGATGACTCTATTGACTTGCTTGTTAGGGCTGGAGAGGCCTGACTTGACATCCAACAGGTATCGTCCGGCGTCGACCTAGTGCCGTGTTAGTGAATAGGACAGTGAATGAGGAAGAATACTGGGACTCACGGTGTGGATGCCAAAATCAAGGAAGATGCCGCCAGACTGCTCAGAAAATGACACAAAAAAGGCTAATCAGAATGGTCAGTCCATCAGCCTATGCGAAAGACAACGACTGGGGGCAATTAGGGCCATACCGTTGGGGTCTGCTTGATCGATACCAGTCGTCTCAACAGCTTGGATTTCACCCAGGGCTCCATTGTCGATCAGGGCCTTAGCCTGGCGGTAGGATGTGTCATCTGGTGTGAGTAAGTCTCTGAACTCTGTAAAGCGCGCGGCCTAGTGTTACTTACATCGGCGAGTGAAGGGAACGAGGAACTTGAGGTCAGGCCTAGAAGCAGACTTCTCGACCACTGCCTTGGTAGTAGCAATGTCCACAGAGACAGGCTTCTCGCACATGACGTGCAAGCCTAGATCAAGGGCCTGCAGTATCAAGGGCGCGTGAGTAGCCGTCGCGGTGCAGATGAGGACGGCCTCAGCGTCGCTGTTCTTCAAGCATTCTTGAGGGTCTGAAAAATACATGACAGACGGGGGCAGATTCTCTGCGGCCCATTTGTCAGTGCCTGGCTTCGTATCGCAGACGGCGACGAGTTCGATCCGAGGCTGCTGGAAGACGAGGATGCGGGCTCGAAGGACTCCCAGGCGACCGAGGCCGAAAAGCGCAAACTTGACACGGCGGTCCCCGTACGACATGGCTCAAGGTCTGTGGTGAGGTGAAGTTCTTCGACGCGGTGGTGGTCGTTGCGGTGTAGGAAATGTAATGAAGAGAGATTGTCTAGTAAAGAGGTAGATTGCGACTTTGCACCGTCTGAGATCCGGGTTATATATTAACATCTGCTCTCTGCTCTAGAGCAGATCTGTACTATCAGCCGGCATAACCACAAGCTTCCCCGCATGTTGGACACTATCCGAATTCGTGTATTGTGCAAGAACCATGGTGAAACCGAGAATCGCCGCCTGTAGAGATCATCGCCGATGGTTGACCAAGGGGTTTCTCGGTACTCTGCAAAACACATCGCCTATCGAGTCCTAATTCCGTCCGACCAGCGGCGAAATTCGTGCAGTATTATTAGAATTACTGAAAGTAGTAAGTCGCCGGCGAGAATTGCGTGATAAGGTCGGCGGGTGTCGCGATATATCTCCACTTCTCGCCAATGCTTCCTGTATACTTTTCGGCTGAACCAGCACAGTGGCCTCGAAATTGCGGAGTTGAGAAAAAGAAAATAAATTCATATGCCTGGAGATGAGATGGCATTTGCTGCGTTGACAGTCCTAGGTGGGGAGAGATATTTTTTTTCTCCGCACTAGATACAACCTAGATGAAGTCTCTCAATGTGGCGAATAATACTCGTTAGAACCGCATTTAAGAAATTGATTCATATCATTATATACACAATGTGATATTCAGCCTTTTGATGATTTCTCATTCCTTATTCAGATCCCTCATACCCTTGCCACCCCCACGCTTCCTTCAATTGCTCCCGCGTACGTAACGTGGCATACGCATGTTCATCCTGCACCTTCAACAGCACCTCAAGTAAAGCCTCTTGCTCCAGTCGATCAGTGAACCGGTCGCCGCACATCCCAATTGCAATAGAGGCTATTACCAATCCCGGGGGACTATGCTGGTTGGAAATGGCAATACCACATATCCGTAATACGATCGCGCGCACTTTTCTATCTACCGAGCGCATCGCAGTTCGTTGTCCAGCGCCAAGGCGAGGCAACCGGGGATTATAAACAGTGAGCAGGATCCGCGCAAGATCCAGAAATTGTAACCCGGCAATATGGCAGTTGTTCAGGTACCATAGCTCGGGAAAGACTTCTCCGCGAGACCGATCTGCTTCGCGTGCATACATGGGTTTGAAACTTGGCGGGCCTAACTCAGACCAGAACGTTCTGAATGCGACCAGTTCGTCGTACCGGGCTATTCGTCTTTCGTTGGCGGAGACAGGGTGGATTATTCCTGTACTTGATGTGTGGAATTGGTGGTCGCCGGGGAGGTGCTGTTCTTCGGATCCGTAGCAATATTGTAGTACGTCAGCGCAGTGGATGACAAGCCGGTCGGCCCAGATATAGTCATCTGCGGGCTCAAAGGATCTGTAGGGCTCGCAGGGCCCAAGTGGGAGTCGGAAGGTTCGCTGTTTGCTAAATGCTGTGATTATCTCTTGTCGCAGGGAGATCCAATAGGCAGCATGTCGTAGTCCGTAGTCCGCTACAGCAGAGTCGGCTTGTGCGTCGAGGAATATGTGGATGCCGCGGAGCGCACTTTCAGTGTCTTGGCCAATGGAAGGGACTGAAATATAGAACAAAAAAACAAAACCATTAGCCACAAATGTGGAAAGAGTGGAGTCCTAGACTGGGATTTTGCGTTGGCTCACCATCTACCTCCTCGTAGAAGCGAATAATCACAGCTGCGGCTAGAAGGTTTTCATCTTGGGCTTCGCGCGAGTGGTCCGATAACGAGACAAAATAGGCAATGCATTCATTGTGATAGTGTATAGCAGATTCTGGTGTTAGGTTGGGAAGGACTTTGCCTCCATAGTGAATCTGGTTTCTAACATAGTATTTTTTGACCCGGCTCAAGTGTCTTGCCGAGGCAGTATAGATGGCGTTAAGTAACGGTAGACATGTTTGCGCCCTTAAGGGAACAGTGCAGGCAAAAAGTGTCTCTTTATCACATATATCAAACTGTTTATAGACAGTGGGCTGTCAGTGGGAACTTTTCGGGTGTGAAGAAAAACTGAAAGAAAGAAGGGAAACGTGAGTACTGTACCCAAGGAGCGAGATGAACAATGAAATACCGCATGAGACATGCCCTCATGCTCATTTGGATTAGGTAAACTAGTCTCGATTGAATTAGAGAGATTATCCGACCCGAGAGATGCATGGCTATTCCGGGAGAAACGAGGCGAGGCGGAAGATACCGGGGACGGGTTTTGAGGTGATAGCTGTAATTGATATGGGGAGTAGCCGGCTAGAGCACCATCGGGCCGATGTGGCGGCAAGAAAGGGTCAGAAGTTTGGGACCCGACTGTATCGCTCAAGATAGATGACTCCGTCATAGCCCATTGGTCAATTGAAACTTCACTTTGGCGTCTTTCTGAGGCCGAGGGCCATGATGGACAACAGCCTAAGTTTACCGAGTAATGTCGGGCTATGTCGGCTGTTTCATCCACATACTTGTAATCCACTTCTTATAGTAGTCAGTTACGATAATCAACAGAGCCATACCCCGGTAGATGCATCGTTTAGATGGGAATGATGACATGCTTCGACGGGTCTCGGCGGGCAAATTGAGAAGCACGAACCGTGGCCGATAGTTAACCAAGGCTGATCATCCGAGAATTTATATTGGGCATTTGCACTAGAGCCTTGACGAAAGACCAAGGTGGTAGCTTGCCAGACGCACGAGGATCCGGTCCGTTCGCAGCGGCGGCATTTCGGCTTTTGTCCGTCACCTAGTCGGGTACTTCGGTCAGTTTCTTGCAGTCTGAAGACCTCTGGATGTACTCACACTTTGCTTGTCGGTCTTACATGATGCGATCAGTCAATAGTTACCAATTACGAATTCTAGATACGATATACTCACAGCGACATTCCTGACTTGACAATTAATCTGTTAGCGTGAGCGAACGAATGCAGAGTGGGGAACTCACCAGGGAACGGCCCTGTTCGGCCGCATGGTTGAGATAGATGTACCTACTAGTAGAGAATGGGAATCATGAAGAACAATTGATGCATGGTCAGGAGAAATGAGGGTAAGGCGTCGCCGGCCATTTCCACCCCCGTAGTGTGAGGTTTAAAAACCTGGGCGCGCATCACGTGCCCTGAGACACTTCGAGAACGGAAATGAGCAGCAAAGCTCCAGGTACAAAATGAATCAAGAAGATCGGACCCATATATTTTTGTAACTCAGCTTCACCTCCACTCTCTCGCACTGTTCCTAGAGCCCCACCAAAATCTAGCTATACCACATTTGGTCTAGAATGACCTGGTTTCTACTAATGTACCTTTAAAATGTGGTCATTAATTACTGTCGAATACTAAGATTGAATACATGGTGGAAACAAGGTATAATACCCAGAAAATCATGTGACAACTGGTACCATCCATACCATACAAAAGTGCATATTACAGTTAGTCATCTATGTCCGCCCAGATTGTTGAAAATGCGGGTTTTGTCATTTTAGTTAGTTAGAGATTCCAATATATCTGATTTTGTCCATACGTTGTAATACAGCCAGATTTTCTGTCAATTACTATAATACTCATTTGCAAATAATAAGCAACATCGACTCATGTGGACCTTAAAGAAGAAACCAAATGTGCTCCCTTCCTCTTCTATTGAGCTTGCGCCGATTTCTCCACCGTGAAGGTGGCAGAGCTTTCTGCTCACATTGAGGCCAAGACCTGAACCACCATAAACGCTCTCAGTTCTAGGTGTTGCTTGGTTGAAGCGCTCAAAGAGCCGCTTTTGAGCTTGGCCACTAATGCCAATCCCGGTATCCTTCACGGCAACCATCACATACGCGACTGGGCTGTCTCCCCACTCAGGTGTGGTGGTGGCATCTAAGCGAAGTGCATTTTCGTCAGATTCAAAAAATACAACATTGGGAGGGTAAGATGGCGGCCGCTTCGTGGATGCGCCTATGGAGACTCTGATCTCTCTCTTACTATCCGCTTTGGCAGTGAACTTGATAGCATTGGAAACCAGGTTGACAAGAACCTGGCCCATCCGGCTGAAATCCGCTAGCACCACTCAATCCCGCAATCTGCGTAAGAAGTGTCAAGTTTGTATTCAAATTGAATGCCTTGCTTCCGAAGCTGTGGCCGAAATATGGACAATGTCCGTGCCAGGTGTCGTTTTGGTTAGTCTCTTCGCGGTGAAAGGTCAACATTGATGCGTCTAGCTTCGAGAACGTAAGGACAACGTCGACAATCTTCTTTTGATGTGCAACGCAGAGACTCATTGTTTCTGCTGCTTGTGCAATGTCTGCCACAGGTACCCCACCACTTTCTTTGTCCTTCACGGCCTCAAGTATATCCTCTGTGCAATGAAGAATAGCAGAAAGAGGATTTCGGACTTCATGACTGATCATATCAATGAAGCGTTCCTGTTGTTGTTTGCGCTCTTGCGCTTCTCGCGCGATTTCCACTTGAAGCAGCTCGGCCGTCCTTTCTGCGATAATGTCTGCGATAGTGCAAATATAGCCGCCACCGCTTAAATTGAACCGGTGCAAATCAGTGTCATCTAACGGAGCCAACATCAGAACACGCCACAAAGAAATTTGGCTGCGAGTGCGGAACTCGATGCGCAGGGCATGCTTAGAGCGTGAGGTCTCAAGATAGGCAGTGGCTACCCGGTCATAATCCTCTGGGTGGATGGATTGTGACCAGCATTCGAATGATTTAGCGCTGCAACATGCATGTCATAAGCTCCCGGAAACGCCGGTTCACCATGATTGACTCGTCATTTTGATTGAGTATGGCAACACCGGTCGGTAACATATCAGCAAGATCTTGTCCAGAGAGATTCAAATCGAGGACAGCAGCCATATTTACCTTGTTTGTCCCGTTGATGGTGAACCTCTGGTTTTCGAGAAGAGAAGTAGTATGGAGTCGGTGAGCATGTCTTGGCTACCAGCTGAGAGATAATCGGTCGAGTGAGTCGATCAGATATGGGTCAATACACTTCGAAAGGTATGGGTTTAGATCTGGGCGTTTCAATGTCTGTTTTCGCTCATATTTGAAGACGAACAACTATTTCTTTCGCGGCAACGGATAGCTAGCTGCAGCTTGAATTGGCATCCAGCGCGAAATGATGTCATCGATATTATATGTTGACGCGGAATAACATTTTCCCTTAATTGCCCCACAAATATCTTATCGTATCCTCAAAGAATTTCAGAGCGCACGAACTGCGCCGCATTAGCAATACTCTTCAAATCCCAGCAAATTTGGCTCCTCTGAGGAATATACCCTGCTTTATGTTAATAGGCGGTAGTAACATGTCTCCCATTGGATTGGCCACGTCTAGCCTTGCAACCATAGCACAGTTCCCTATGCGATGACGTCATTCTGCTTTCTCGGTTAACCTGAGTGAAGTTTAGTAATTAACATACAATACTTAGCCTGCTCACCGTCAAGGAATAATCTGCAACCTAAGCCTTTATTCTTTCATTAAGTGAAATTTCCACGCTAACTACACATGTTGGACGAAATGGCCACGAATTATATTGTAATTTGACTTCTCTTCGCCTCCGACGATTTCCACTAACAAAGACAGGTAACCTTTCAAGACATTGCCACCACTGAGCAGATCAATACCTACATCGAACAGATTAACGGAGACGGCGGAACTGTAATCAACAGGTTTCCAGACATGATCGCTAGAGGATTCACGTATGTGTTCTGTCCACTACAACGCTTCATTGAATGTTTTCCTAATTTGCAATTTCAGAGCCTGTATAACAGATTCAGTCCGCCAGAAGCTTCAGTCAGACCCTCTGATTGATTGCATCACACCTGATACCTCCAACTAAGCTCGGCGTTGGCTTGGCCCTTTTGAGATACCTACATAGCCTAGCATTCTTTGCTTCGCGTTCCCTTATTACACTACATAACGACATTATTCGTGGCTACCTAATCACATTGACCACTGTGTTGGCTGCCTATACATATTTAGAGGAAACTCATCTATAGCTTGGACCCGTACGACACACTAAATCCCAAATTTTGTTGTACTTACGGATCGGGTCTGCTCCGAGCGACTGATCATTTCTCGTAGTTAACACATGACCGATTTAATTATCATGTTCATTTTATGTTCACATCATGAGCATTATAGTCGAAGAGTATACTGTCGGCAGTTGAGGAAAGCATTCAAGACCTCCATGCAGTCCTCCTTTTCTCGCATCGGAGGGTGCATTCACGGAGTACCTACGTTCTAGACTGGGTGCGTGTGTGAGCGGCATTTGACAGACCGCCCAGGCATTCTTTCACGAAACTATGGAAGGTGTTACATATATACAGCTCTAATAGTACAGTACATAATGTGTAAGGTCTTTCTCTCCAAGATGAGTGGGGACCCCGAATCCAGTGCGGAGAACCCGCAATTTTACGCACCAAAGAACATCACCTTACAAGGTGAATTTATGGTGGACTTCGGATTTATGCCACGCGCTCAATTATTGATATACGCTAAAGCCTTGGTATTGGGACCAGAAAACAATTGTCTAGTACCGGTCATGGCACTTTTTGAGATTCACTGTACAGGAACTATTTTAGTTGTTCCTAATTATCGTATCAGAATTTCTTCTGAATCTAGGGAACAGAGATGTAACCTTCTCGGTAGGCCTCTGTTCCGGGGAGCCCCCGTGCTCCCGAGATTCGTGCTCAGGGGCCAGAAACAGATGTAAAACGCGTGGTCATGCCATCGATTCAAATAGTATCCGATATGTGACCCCACTGATCCACCGGCATCGATCTTGCCAAACCTAAAGCCCGGGGAACCCACTCCTCAGAGCTGTAGGTCCTCTGGGAAGTATGAGTCTGATCCCTACGAGCGACTAAGAGCGTACCTAGGAACCATGCTCTGGGCCCACGTAAATAGTCATTTATAATTGCACAAAGCGATATCACCACATGGGGAGAGATGCTGAGTTTGCACTAAGAAGGGGGATATGGAGCACTCCGGCCAGAACAGCTGAACATTGACCATGAAGGCGATGACGCGAACAAAATTGATTCAAATATTCGAGGACTACTGCTGGCTCTGTGCGTGTCATTGAAGCCTTTCCGACCATCGACGGACCCACTTGCTCAGAGTTTGTAACGGCCCGGGGAGATGGTAGGTCCTTTTCTTCTATGTCGTCGTTATCTCCCACCTTTCCAGAGCAGAATATAGTATTCCACCAGTTAGTTTCATGTTCGTCGACACAAGGGCCCAAGTCAATCGGAATATCGCACAGTTTGGTCCGTTAAGCAGCCTGTAGATTGTCAACAGTGGTATACTTGTATCCGCAATGCCGGTTCGTGGATGCCGTCAACGATTCCGCCCATCTTACAGACATAGTATATGCCCTCGCAAGGACAGTGAGGTAACTTCCTTCATCATATCCCGACAGGTCCTGGATACCCGGCCATTCCGCCAGTGGGGTGCTGTCAGATAGTCGGAATTTCATAGGGGTTCGGACACCTATTAATAGCTGAGAACTAATATTCTTAGGCTCAAGAAAGTAATTGCTGCTAGACGTGCTCAAATTGGAGTAGCCAATGATGAGGGGACCGGAATTATCATAGCTCAGTATCTTTTCACGCTATAGCGAGTCTTTGGAGATCAGGCCATATCCGAGATAAGTTGGTGTCCGCCCTGCGAGCTTTTTCAGATCGATAACAACAATATGGAAGCTGTGATGTGGTCTTAGCAGCATCGAAATACGACGACCATAAGCTAAAGCTTTCGAAGACCAGGTGCTCATAAGCAGTTTTACTGGGACGGATAGCATCAGTCATGATGAGTATGAGGTTCCAAGTATTGACATTGACCCTGAAGGGTTGGGTGCTGATGCCTGAGATATGCAAGTTACTCCAACAGGACCTTCATCACATGATCAAATTTCGGGAAAACATAGCCACAATGGGTGGGGTAATGTTCCCGACTTCCTGCACAGCCCACGGATAAACCATGGCTATGGATGTCCTCGAGAAATCTGGTTCGATCCAAAATCCTCCTCTCTTGACCCATACTACATCACAATCTACCCACGTACTATACCAAAAAATCTACAAATCAACACAGCCTTCACCCGGACCGCACTTGGATGTCAAACTGGGTTTGACCCGAAGCTCAAATGACTTGCAATACTTGTTCAACAACCCACCTCTGCCCCCTTTGCACAGGCTCCGGCACAACGTCCGATTTCTGTCCCTCCTGCTTGGGCAAGCGTGGTGCCTTTGAGACGGAGGGTGGCTACGACAACACGCGAGGAGAGTTCCATGCCCCTTATTTCTCCGCGCAATGCCGTAGCTGTTACGGCGAAGGGATCGCGTTCGATCGTTGCAAGGATTGTTTTGGCGTCGGGCATTTGAGATTATATTGTGGGAGCTGTGAGCAGGAGTTTAGGAGGCGTCGTTCTTGGGACGGCCGGGAAAAGGTTAGTGTGGAGGACAGGGAATCGGAAATGAAGGAGATGAATGACGTAGGCGGGAGGAGCGAGTCGAGTGAGAAGGCGCCTGCCCTATGAATCGGCCGAGCCTCTGATTCTATGCCACTTTGGCCCTTTTGCTTCCTTTGACCCTTCTTTGACTTGTTGATCATTGATTCTTTCTCAGAACTGCTTGCCATTAGGATGTCTGGGAACCCGGAAACGAAATCCGAATGCATCACCACGCGGGTGTCTGTTTATTCACTTATTGCGATTCTTTGGCTAGCGTTGCGGGTCAATGCTCGAGCAAGTAGAGAGTAGGATAATAGAACTTCATGAGATGCATATAACCGAATATCAGTTTGCGGCCCACATGGTTTCAGGACAAGCCTTGCTGCTGTGACGCGCATATATATGCTATCCTGATGTTGAGGAAGCCGGGGAGGGGGAGAAGCTCAAATAATTAAATAATCGGTCGGGATTTCCACCATGTGGTTCATTAAACGAATAAAGGAGTGTCGGGTCGCATACATGATCCATCTTCTCAAATCGGAGAACCGAGGGTCTATCTCGTCATTGGTCTCAGAACAGGTACATTTAGTTTCAATTTATTCAACCTTCATCTCGATGCTCGGCCTTGATGGCAACCTGGCTGATGTTGTTCGGGGGATCAAGCAAGTTGGAAAGACGTGAGACCCGGCCTACGCTTACAAGATTGGAACATGTAACCATTGCTAAGTCCCGTTTGAAACACACGATAGGTACTCACATGTCTACGGAGAAACCAAACAAGACATAGGTCTTCATATATTATAACCCTCACAATATCACGCGTGTGGCTAACTTACATCTAGATCTTCAATCGAGTAATTGAGAACGTGCCGAGGTCCTTTCGCAGTGCCAACGCTTCTGACTATGAGATTATTCATGATAATGTTGCGATACGTCCTGGGAGGTCCGGCGTGAAGGTGGAATGAGAGCAAATCAGCAATGCAAATGTTGTCCATGCATATGGTACAGGTGGAGGTGGCTACGTCTTTAGCTTTGGGGTAGCAAAGGTTGTGGCTTTGACCGACGAAATACTTTATGAGCTGATTAAAGCAAAATTGTAGATGGTCAGATTTAGCCATCGACAAGCCTTTTTACTAGTGGTATCTGCCATATTTACCTGTCTCGTTGCGCACTTAGCCGGCGAAACTATTTACATTCTACTATTTTAGATCCACTTCTCTCTACCAAGATGGTACTTTATTCGTAAAAAGGTTAGTTATCAGGGTGACGACCTGATTTTTTTCCTTCAGTTTCGCACTTTCCCACTTTTTTAACCTCCATTTAGGTCGTTGCCATAGCAAAGTATGCCAATCAAACAGCAGCCACTTTGACGTTGACTGAGTGGCTGGGCGTTCCATCCTTCAAGACGAAAAGCATGTAATATCCAGGCAGAGCAATGCCTGGTTCAGCAGGAATCTTGAACGCGTACTTGTTTTCCTCGGTCTTTTTCAATTGAATCGCAATGCGTCGCTGGTCGGTTCCCACTGATCGAGGGGATTTGCTCTCAATCATTATGATGTCAAAGAATGTGCAATCTACTGGTCTCCGTTGGTTTTGTGACTTGAAGTGTTTGTACTTGTCATCTCATATATGTCTCGGTTAATGTTTATTCACTGTAATCCAGCGTCTTTTTTCAGCTCTGGTGCTGTAACCACCGAGTATCGGCGTTTGAGGCGCATAGACCCCGAGAGTATCTCAACCTGCCCTCGATCACGCATGTCTTCCATTCAATCAATCATTCTTTTCATGCGGAATTGGTTCCGCGAGACCTCATTCGTCCTGATCGTGTGCTAGTTCATACATTCATAGCTTGTTCTGTTATATCTTTAAAAAGGGCATAAAAGTATTAACAAAGAAAGGTAACGTAACGAGAGTCGATCCCTGATTAGTGTGTTTCGACCGTCTGGGACACGGCCACCGTCTTCCGGATTCCATCTTCGGTACATACCGAGTCGGCAGCCTCGGGCGTGCCGGCAAACGAGATGAGATGAGATTGGTCTCCAAAGGCAACAGACTTGTCCCATTCGGACGCCGCCTTGGAAGTAGGAGCCCTCGACCTCCTCTCGCTCAAGGCAACATTGTCGCTTTGCTGATAATACTTTTGCGACGAGTATTTCTTTTTATGGTAGGCCAGTAACACGTTAAGGATAGGCAAGCAGGCGCAGATCAGTCCGACACCTCCCTCGGCGTTTCTGCAGGTTAACTGTTAGAATCATGTCACAGAAAGGAAAAAGGGGGCAGCGAAGACTATTACATACCCAGATAAGATGATGATTACGAAGAAGATGCTCATGTCGGCAGGGTTACCCGTCTTCAATACCAGCACTAACCGGTAAAGACTGAAACCGGTCGCCAGACCACCAGCACCGAGAAGACCTATCACGCGCAGCTTGCGATTGCGCGACATTTGCAGGGACCAAGTCAATGGCAGCGGCAGAACGAGAATGATAATGTCACTGACAACACTGATGACGGAGTCGGCGATGAGAGCGGCGTTCTGGTCGAGGCATTTTCCACCCCCGGTCCAATAGGCCGGGATCGGATCGCACATCCTGATTTTGATGATAAGAGCGATCACGTAGTAGACGCAGAGGCAGGCGAGGAGGATGTAGATGAACCAGACTTTGGCGCGGTAGGGGGCGAAAATGCGGGTGAGAATTGACAGGAGGGCGATTTTGACGAAGAGGGCCATTGGGCAGTAGAGGATCGTGGCGATGTAGCAGAACTTTTTGTATTGGACTTTTTGGTCGTCGCTGAGCGTGTCAAAGTGGTAGCCTCCGCCATGTTTGCCGACTAGTACACTGGTTAGTAGGTGTATTGGAATAAATATCGTATCGGATTTGTACTCACTGACGATACTGATTCCACAGTATCCCATGAACAGGAGCTATGTCTTGTGGTCAGTTCCAGCCGATTGCTCTCTGTTAAAGCTTAACTTACCCAAGCTACCGTGCAGCCATCTGGGAGAGAATCAGCAGGGAATTCGACAAGTAAGAGGCCAATTTCTTTTTCTTTTGGCTTACAATCTTCTACCCCTAGAGACTGCTTAAATTGTAGACGGGTGTAGAAGCGCAAGCCGACAAAAAGCGTCACGATCGGGATACAAAGGCATTGTGTAACGAGATTGACGGTGTGCAGAACATCTTGCGGGTGGCTGACAGACATGGCGTGATTGAATATGATCTGTCACATCCCCATGCAAAGAAGCCGGGGAAAGAACCAGATAAAGAACGCTGGGACAAGTTCGCAGCTCGAGCCTCATCCAAATTGTGGGCAAACTCGGCTTTTGACACGCTTGTGGAAATTAGACAGCCCGGACGCGATTTTCAGTGGGGCGGAAGGCTATCGATCCGCTACATAATGTGGCGCCTTCGTGAGTGACTGATTGCTCGGGGAACTGCGATGACATCCACCGCGGACTTCTTCAGTGCGCCGTCTACGCCGATCGAATCCGTGGGAATGGTTTAAGACAGACATTCCGACCATTCGTCGCGGTTTTTGAATGAATTATTTGATTAACGCCGATCCTGTCTGGCCAGCAGAAAATTGAGGATACAGATGGTGCGGACTGACCTTGTATCCTCAGCCGACCCAACTATTTGTGTTTGTTCGCCACGACACCGGCGTTACACCATTAACGTGAACTGGGGCTGGTTGAACCCCATATCGACTTGGCCGGGCTGACAGCTTTGAAGTTTATAATAATATTTGATCATTAACTTGATTATAATTTTCTTTCATCCTGTCTCTCGATCGTTCCTTTCTTAGCAATTTACAAGATCGATCTTCATGATCTTAGTTCTTGTGATTTGAACTCGATTCTTTTGATTTTTGATTGAAAATCATTGTGCATATAACAAAATAAGTAGTTCTACAACGTACAGTGTATAATGTTTGTTTCGGCTCCCATTCCGAGGACTTGATGATATAACTTCATTTTTTCAAAGCTAAAAGCTAAGCTGAATACTTACTAATTCAGGTAATACGTTCATTTGGAAATATTTAAAATTCCTAGGTACTACGGGGGAAGTCCGCCTGATGGCGGGGAATTGCTACAGACACGGCACGTTTTGCTAGTTTTCCAAGTCTATCCAAAATTTGAAATATGAGGATCAATGGCGTATTGCCGGTTTTCGGTGATAATCTGAGCGACAAGAACAGAGATGCTAACACAACCGGCTGCTTTTTCCGGCCAATAGCCCGCGAGGCAGTCGTTGGGTTTGGTTCGCTTTGGTTGGCTCGACTGTCTCAAGCCCCGCACGGAATCCACCTCCAGTACAGGCTGACTTGGAGGTCGGCGCCCCTTGCAGAGCCCTCGGCCAATCAATAAGATAATGGCATCCCCGCAATTCGACTGAATTCCGGTTTACTACCCAGCTACTTCTTTACTAATGCTTTCGAACGTCGCACTATTTTCGTTGTATTGCTCCACACATTACCATAATCCATTGCAGCCCTCCCGATATTGAGACGAGATATCGAGTTTTGGGAAATCCAAAGCAAAGTCCCCAAATGTCGATCCCTTCACCAAATTTGCTGAACGAGTACCACAGTGTGATGCTTTGGCACACATGCACTCAAATACAAACTATCATTGATTCTCAAGCAATTGAATATCCCGATATCTCCACGGAGACTCCAACTGTTCGTATTGGCGACGGTGGAATGATCGCAAACACGCCAATCAACGAAAATCGGCCCAAATTTGACAGCGCATACGAAGACTCTAACCTGGATTCAACTAGGGTTTTTGGAAACGTTGCCAATATTAATGACAATTCTGTTTTGATAATGTCCATGACCACTGGTAATTGCTTTTCCTGACACTCAATATCTATGCTGCAAAAGTTAACGCTTATTCAGGGTACGAGGTTTTCACTGTCAACAGCAAAGTCGGCCTGTCCCTGACATCTGTCAGCGCTGAGTAATGCAAAGATATCTTGCCCGGTCTTCAAAGGACTGTGTTATCGAGGGCCGGTAGTCGAGATCATACCCGAGATGTCGTGTCCGGCGATTTGAGATGGACAGGCATATAACTCCGGCCAGAGATTTTCGTCTCTGGTGATTCCGGCAGCGTGAACTCGGATGAGGAGCTCGTTATGAGGGGTAGGGGTGTTCATGACATGGTTTGTCACGATCCTTGGAAAGGAACTGTCGCTTTGGCTTTGAGCGGCCTTCATCGTGGGCCTTGTTGAGATTTTCTTTTGATTTTCCATAGAATTCCTGGTTCTTGGGAAAGAAGGACGGTCAAGGATCTATTTGACAACCAAGACGCAGTGCTATGTGTTACTTTTAGTATGACTTGCACCTGTTAACGTACCCATGACTCGCATTTGTTGGGTCGCGGGTACTTAGTCTGAGATGTGAACCAAGACCAGCAGAAACTGGTGTTATTCTAACTTTGCAAAGCTGAAGTAGGAAAAACTAGCTACAGAGACGAGACGGAGATGGAATACTCGGAATGGAGATATCTGTTGAATAGTCAACTTCCCTTACTGTCATGTCTAGTTTTTTGATTGCTTTTTGATAGTAGAAAATGCCAACGACGTTTGGATGGGCTGATAAGCGGGGATCTGGTAGAGTGACGTTGAATGATTCGAGTAGGGACTGAAGACCTGCACGTTGAAGGGGTTTGACTTCAAGTTGTTCCAACAACAAACATTGTCAGTTGCTGGAACATCTTGAAGCCGAGAAAGCTGAAAAAACTTCGAAATTGCAGCTGGCTATCAAAGCAAGAGATGCGGTATCAGCCGAGAGTCAGCGGGTCGGACGATAGGTCTGTGAGTTGCAGCAGCAGCTTGAATCCACAAGCGCCGCTCTGCAGGATCAGGTTCCATGGAATGATATTCAGCTGGTGTTGGATCAGGCGCACGGGGATATGGTATCGACGACCACTCGATTTTGAAACTCGATCGACGCCCTCCAGAACAGACGACTGGCATCCTATTTGCCAGGCTCCGGGGTGGTCCACGCAGACTGGCCCGAGCAGGGGGGCCTGGCTACTCAGAGCCACGATATCCCCCTCGGCCTCTCCGAATCGAATGTCCCGCTTCTTGATCAGCAGGAGCCCTCTGCGACTAACCAGCATGGATCTCTAGAAGGATGAATATGTTTTCTTTTGGACCTATTTATTCATGTAGTAGAGCTGGCTATTTAGTACGTAGCCAGTACACAAGTAGCTTATGACAAATATCTGACAGCATTCGCACCATACCATGACGAGGGTAGAAGTAACCTATTGAGTGTAATGCAACCCGGTTTGAGCCGTTTACCGGAGGTAAGCCTTTTACTGTTGGCAAAGTCTGGAAAGGAGGGCTGTGAGTGCTTAACTTTCAAGTTTCTCCCATCATCGAGAATTGAATCTTTGGCTCTGCGAACTTCAACGGAAACCCAGCACATCTCGTGCGCACTCTCGTGGTTCATTCCTAATCTTTGGCACACACCTGCCATGAATCAAATTCCCATCTAGCCCAAACACGTGGGGGGCAGCTTTTTCCATAGTAATGATTTTCAGACACTGTACCGCTTTTATCAAACGTCAAGGATCTTGTCTTTGCAATAATCTCGACCGATGTCAAATCATTTAAAAACGTGTGATATTTGAATAATACCCTAAAGTCTCGTTGTTCCACGCAGGGCTTTCGATGATGCAGACCGGAGTATGGAAATGGTCGGCCAAACAGAGTACAAATGATCAACAAGGCTTGAACTGAAGAAAACTTAGATGACTCGCCTAAATAATCTTAGACTATAGCCGCTTGGCCTCGAAAAACCCTTTCGGTACGCTAAGTTACATTTCCATTCATATTTCTAAGGTGTTGCGTACCTTGGTGGAGGATTGGCGAAAAAAGAGATCTCAATGCACAATGACAAGATGGTACAGGAGTGGACACGTTGTCAGGTTGGAATCGAGCCCATCGAGACATATTCTGGCCAACCAATGTACGGGCTTCTATTGGCTTGCTCGCGTTCTATTCCATTTGGGCTTTGGCAGTCGAACCATGTACAGATATCTACCTCAGGACTAACACGAGCTGATACCTTGCTTCGGTCCAAATGGCCGGAAATCAAACTTTAATCACTGTTGCCCCGACGAAGAGATCGCCGGATGCTCTGGCCCTCGGTGGCTTTGTTGTTGCTCCGTTTTGCCACTTTCTTCATCTCAGTCTCTACGATCGCCAATCGAGCAAGGATATCAGCCAAGTCGTTGCGAACGGTTTCATTGCAGGTGCTTTGGACATACGATGAGCTCTCAATGGACCTGTAGAGAAGATTAGCGCGTTATTTCTTTTTCACTCGAAGGTTGATCCGCAACAGACTTCATTCGGATATTTAGACTGGATGTTGTCAGCAGGCAATCCGAAATCATATTCTGTGATGAGGTCGATACTTACTCCGCCACACATTCAAGAGCTACCGCATTGCCGTCTCTAGGGAGCTGAGTCTCTTCGGATTTTTCCAAGTCCCTTCCATATCTACACTTCTTCCTCCGCTCCCGTGGAGCCTCGTCACTCTCGTCGGCTGAGTTGCTGTTTGGCTGGTCGTCAGAGCAGTCATTTCCGTCCTGCAAAGCCTCATCCTCTGTTGTATCGCCTGCCTCAGACGCCGACAAACTGCTGGTTTTCTCAGACTCGGAGGACGATAAGGATAATGCACGTTCTAATTTGCTCCGAAAGTCTTGTCGTCGATGAGTGTGCGACACTCTTCGAATTCCACCCATACTTGCGTTTTAGCCGAGATGGCGAGTGTTCCCGATTCTGGTTGGGTGTACAGTAAAAGGAGAGGGGCGCACTGGCTCTAATAGATATTTGAACGTGGAACCGGAATTGAGGGCTTTGTTTGCTTGCAATGGGGGCGCAAGGTCAACCAATTCCCACACATACTTTCACACCCGGGGCTTTATGTGGAATGAATCTCAGACCATCACTCAGTAAGTGATCTAAGACCTTTCATTGTTCAGGCCCTCATATTTTGTCCATGAATTCCACAATGTCTGTCAAACCAACGTTGACAGATATTTCATGTGGACGATGGACAAGAAGGCCAACGAATGTTGTACGAAAAAAGCCGGCCTAGAAGAACATGATCCAACGAAGCGGTAGAACAATGCTGTGTGGCCAAGAAAGAAAGGCTTCCAGCGTCGTTTGCGTTTCAACGTCGCTGTTTCTCAATAGCCACCTCTTTTCCAAGGGTGCAATAATAAATTGAGGGCATGTTTGGACTGACGAATAGTGAGGGTCTGAGACCAGCTCACCAGACTGAGCCATGGCTCATAATCAAACAATGGTCTTTTTTAATGCAACGGTAGGGTCTTTCGTAGTTGACTGAGTATTAAAAAGATCTTTAAACTCAACAAACCAACGTCTTCTAGTTCACTTTGTACTGTTTTCTTCATCCGTTCTTACCACTTCTGCCACCTTCCCGAGCATCACCATGTCCCCACGTAGCGCAATGAACTGGCCGGAATGGGAGGAGAGAAATCTTCTCTCTTGGCTGGATGCCCATCGAGAGCTGTCGTGGAAAGCCCGCTCCGACGCATATTATGAACAACACCGGGTGGCCCGGTCGCTGAGTCTCTACGGGGGAAGAAGTATCATATTCTGCGAAAGTGCCGTCACACTGGCGCCAGGTCTTTTGATCATTCAGGCAATCAAAAACCATCAAAAGGCGCACGTCACTCAACCGGCCGTAGGGCTTCATTGGTGGCCCTCCCAAACAAAATTTCTGCCAAAAGTAACATTGACAAATGGTTTGAAACAATCTTAACGGCTGAGACGAGCCAGACCGACAGCAATGGATCAAGTCAAACAGAAAGCTCCAGACTAGGTACGAAATACATTTCCTGTTATCACTTGTTATCATTTACTCATTACAAGCTGATCCTCTGTCACAGGTCGTGCGACGCGAGTATCAATCCCGTGTTGGCCTAAAGAAACTCGATCGTCATCTTGGATATGGGACTATGTGCATCGTATTTGTGCAGCCAGCAAGCTTGAATAGCAGTGAATAGAACGCTCATGCTAGTAGCAGTTTGTTGTCATGCGGTTTACGTCGTGAGATCGAAGCAACAGTGGTCAACTACCTCGATAACTAGTCATGGTGCACATTACTATAACAAATTAGCTGTGATAACTCCGCAAGCAAGCGGCAGCATGAAGAATCTCGTCGTGGCTGTACATATTCCCCCATGTAATTATAAAAACAAGAGAAATCATCCTTCCTCGGAATTTTAACACCATTGGAGGCCTCCCAGATGTCAAACGTTGTGAAATGGAGCACTGTTCTCGTGCCCTTGAAACACAGCCGTCTACAGTGCTGTTATAAATCAGCTATACATGCACGTTCTTTCTTCTTGTCTCGAATCCAGGAGAATGTCATCGGAGTCCCATACGGTCTAGACAATACTGCGGGCAGTGTATAAAGACTCACAGACCTATGAGTGTCCTCGGAACGAGATCAGGTCATGGTAGCAAAGGGGCTCTCCGGAAATTACAAAATTCACTTAATTCTTGTCAGCTCGAGGTAATATTCTTGGTTCCATTTTCAAATGGATTCGGTTAGGTCGGGGTCGAAAGCAGAGTGATTCGTAGAGTAGAATCTGAGGCATACGATTTATCTTCGAGCCACTCCCTAGTCATGTTTGACAAGAAGCAAAGGTTTTCCCGAGTCAGCCCAAGACTGGCAGATTCAAGTCATGAGGAAAAATTGTTTCACACAGACCGTAGAATCATGAGCGGGACCGTCGATCAGTAGTCGAATCCCGAATCAATTCGACAATAGAGTTTTGAAAACCATGGAAACGCTCGCTCGGTGAGAGAAATCGGTTGTCAGAAGGATTCAAGCTTGAACTTAATCGAAAGCTTATCTATAGGCATCTGCTCCACTAGCGTGTTGGATTCCCGTGATTAAATCTGTCCCAGAGTCCGAGAATTTAGAGGGAAAATCGGGTACTCTCTCCAAGATCTCACGTAGGCGAAGTATAGTATATTGTAGAAGGAAACAACATTATTCGTAAATATTCTCGCGCCAGAGTAATGGTCAAGATGCACTGGGTGCTTGAAATAAACTTTGTGGGTCGGCCCGGACCAATCGGTTTCTCGGTCTCTAGTGCACAAACCGGAGACTTTGTTTAAATCTACGATCTTTTTCTTACACAATTGACATTGATTTCAAAAACTAT